ACACAATTTCCGTTCGAAGCGCACAAATCTGCAAGTTACGTCTTGATCAATACTCGAGGCGCCAGTTGCTCTGCTCGTTCTTTTGCAAACTGAAACGTTATCATTTGACGAGCAGTGAGAAGTCAAAGAAAAGGGCCAGAACTTTGTGACGTCTTTCCATTCGGATGGACAATTGCGATAGGGGGTGCAGAGACAGACAGACATCTCGATACGTAGGTCAGGGATGCGTGTACCTAGGCATACCAAACACGTGCACTGCGTTCGCGTACGGTGCTACTGGTGCAGGTGCTCGTATATACGTGTATCAGGTGTGCGTGTACGTGTCGGTGATCGATAAATCCATTCACTAATCAACATACCGAGACTATGTTATACGGGGTGGTGACAGAATCCTTCGTCGAATCTCTGAGATCACTAAAGTGTCTCCGGGAGATTACTGGGATAGGAATTGTCACAGGCAGGACGATGCTTCTCGATGGTAACGAACGGAAGGAAGGTGGAAGGAAGGTAGAAAGGTGTCCAACGATTGACGAGGATCCACATCGCGGCGATATCCCATCGTTAAATGTAGGTTTGCTCGCACGAACTCTCTCGGCTGCTTCGTACGTGGTGGAGCGAATAAGCGGAGTAGTACCTTCCCGATGCGAATCTCTGAAAAAACATGAATACACTCGATTCGATGTGTCCGATTCGTCGTGTCGCAGCTTTCTCCTTGCGGGCAACGTGCCTCGTTGCCTCCAAATGTACGGTGAACGGAGATCTAAGGTCCAGCGACTGTTGTGATTCAATCTGCACACGGTTGCCTGTTTCGAATAAACCGACGCATGTTTCACGCGAACCAAAGGAAGGCACGGTTAATAGGTTTTCCCCGAATGCCGGATTCACCTGACGCGAGGTAAAAGTAGACGAAACGAGAGATGAACTTCTCGCGTACGCGTTTCAAAGAAAATGTTGTGCAGCAGACGGGTACGCTAAGGATAGATAAAGTAGCTAGTAAAGGGATATTATATCGAGGCGCGCGCTTAATCGCTTCGAAGTGGCTTCGAGGCCATGGAAGTTGCCAGAGCCGATATCGCGAACCCGAACCCGCGCAAGCTATTTGTTCAACTGTGTACACGCGGATGCGAGACGCCGATGCGACGGAATTATATGCAAATCGAACGTAAACAGTAAATCTAATTCGCGGATATTACGTTCGCGTGTAACGCGGACAAGCCTCGCGGAATTTTTTTTCTTCCTCCGACATCGCCTGACTACGGCCAACTTTCTCTACTTAATAAATAAGAAAAGTTCCGCGCGAGCAGCACGCGTCATGGGAATAGGTAGAAGTTTCGCGAAGCAAGGAGAACCAATATGTTCCAAATATAGCGGTATCGGGCAACTTCGTCATCTCTCTTTTCCCTTGTGCTCGCATTTTTTTCTCCCTCTTTTCTCTCGCACATCAGACTTGGTCAGCGAATCTTCGCTATTTCCCATGGCAGTTCGAAATGCATTTATATTGGACGCGTTTTGATACGTTTGCCAAGATATTCGCGTGAATATCCATTTGGAAAACGAAGCGCGTGTCGTGCATCCGCGCGAAATGAATTCGCACGAGTTACGAAACGAGGTAACGGCACCATTTAATTTATTAGCTCCATCCAATAAACTCATCGATCATTGTCACGTCGTTGTAATTTTCACGTTCATTTGCACGCGTTTGATATCGACGATTGTAACACGCTCGTTTGTAACAGGTGATAAGAGAATGGCTGTTACCAACGTCGAAAGTTTTTGGCACTATTACTTATTGAACGAAGGGGGACACGTGAAGGGAAATGTTCATCTAAAATGGAACGGAGACAGTTCTCGAAGTTACTCGGAGCTTAAACTCGACGTTATCACGGGCAGATCGGAATTATTTCGAGGATGAAAACTTTCACAATCGAAACGATAAATTTCTTTCATTTGGCGAGCATTCAAGGCCGGCTTGTGCGGCTACACAACCCGACACAGTCCCTACCGCATTCCCTTGATCGCTTTATACTTGGCCTCGAGCCGCTCTCTCTCTCTCTCTCTCTCTCTTTCTCTCGCCTTGGGGTTATCTCTTTGTCCTAATAAATCCTGCGAATTGCTTTGCAACGCAATCTCCTTTGGATTTGTCTTCGCCTGTTGCTCCCACGAGCAAGCCCTGAACGTGCCAGGAAAACGGCATGCAAGCGAGCCTAATTTCTTCTACAGATCTTTTCAGGATCGGACTTGCAAACGCTGTCTTTCTATCTTCGAAGGAATTGTTTCGAACGAATCCGCGAGTTTTCGCGCGCGGGTGGAACGATTCACTGCGCATATGATGGCACATTCTGAAATTAAGCATTCGTAGAAAATTCATTCGTATCGA